ATAAATTTATTTAATCATCATCTTCAAGTACAAATCCATTCATCTGACCAGTTTAATATTATGCGCACGAATATTGATGGTTAGGTTAAATTTGAATGAAACGAAAGAATTAGGTTGGTTGTTTAAAAAAAACATTCTTCCCCTTTTAATTTCATTATACTAACAAGTTTTTACAAGAAATAATTTCCTTCAGTACTTATAAAAGGGTACATTTGGGTAATTATTTTTGAACCCGGACCAATTTTATATATGACGTAATAACATTTTGGTCTGAATTCAAAAATAAATACCCATTTGTAAAATATAGTATGATGTAAATTATTAGATATAGTGTTATGTAAACTATTAGATATATTGTTATGTAAACTATTAGATATAGTGTTATGTAATCAATTAAATTAACTATTAATAAACATTAAAAACTATTAATATAAATTATTAGATAATTAAATTTTAAATGCCATCGAAATAAACAATTAATTTGTTATAGTATTCAAGACCTAGCAAATCTTGACTCGGAACCAAATATGTAAAAAAGATGATTACGTTAAAAAGTTAATTTAGCGAGAATTGGTTAATAATATTGATATCTTGAACATCATTACAAAAACGTGTTCATTCTAAGAACACGTAAATATGCAGGAAAAAATTATCATCATTTACGTGATACGTAAGCGTTGTGCTATACGTAGTAAATCTATTCGATAATATTATTTGGTTTATATTCTTTAGTTAATATCATCTGGTTTAGATCATTTAGTTTATATCCTTTAGTTATATCATTTAGTTATATCATTTAGTTTATATCATTTAGTTTATATCATTTAGTTTAGTTATATCATTTAGTTTATATCATTCAGTTAATACCATTTGGTTTAGATCATTTAGTTTATATCATTTCAATCTTGAAACCTTCTTGCAATAGATTCGAGGTACAAATACCACATGAATGGTGAAGAGAGACCCCAAAAACACATCCAACTTTTACATATACTCTTAATCAATCTAATCACATATTATATATTTCATATTCGCATTAACTTTCTTTTATTCATTTATTTATTTTATTTTATTTTATTTTTTTATTTATTTTATTCATTCATTCATTCATTCATTCATCATAAAAAGTAACCAAAACTTAAATATTCAATAGTGATGTAATGCATGTTTGCCTCCGGATGCCGTTTAGACAGTTAAAGAAAAATCGCCAACTATCTAACATTAAAATAATTGGAGAGTTCCTTTTTAGTATTAAAAAATGCACGATCTGAATAACGATGTATGATTTAGTAATTGCATATCTTTGTCCTCAAATCTGAAATGCATCTAAAAAAAAAAAGGATGGATTTATTTTATTTTATTTTTTTTTTAAAAAAAAAAGAAAAAAAAAACTTCTTGCTCAGTTTTGCTTATTACCTATTTATTTTTTTTTAAAAAAAAAAATTGGAGCATTTGGCGAACGATTTTTTTTAAAAAAATATACATAACTTCGGATCATCAACCAAAAATTAATAGGTAATAAAAATTAATAATAAAAATTAATAATTTTTGTACGGAGCAGAATTAGTAGTTTCATGCGTAACGCCTTAAAAAAAAAGAAAAAAGCACGTCGATAATGCGTTAATGAGAATTAAATTCGTTGATAATGAAACTAAAAAATTTTGATTCATTGCCATTGTTTAAATGACATCTATAAAGCTCGATATGGCTGATAACCGGTGTATCCGGCGTCAATTTTTTGATCATAAATGGTATGTTAATAAATGGCTTTTTTTGATTTATTAGGATTCATGAAACCTAATTGAGAGTTATGAAACCCAATTGAGAACTTCAAGAATTATGAAACCTAATTGAGATTTGATAATCCAAAAAATAATGTGACTTATTAACATAATAAATTTTTAATAGATTTGTTAATACCGATACATAAATACATAGATAATCCACACGCATATGCCAATGCACATATACGTATGTACTTACGCACATAAGGATCTTGAAAAGGCCAAACAAAAAAATATATGATTTCATACAACTGCACATATCATATACATATCATATAAGTAATGCGATGAATATCTGTAAGCTTGCGCATTTTGGCTAAGTAGAGAATCGTGCAACTTCCACCCTTTCATTGGAACCAATAATTGATTTATTCTTTTCATGAAGACTATCAAATAATCATGTTTAAGTGATTACTTGTACACCACGTTTGTGCGCGATGGACCAATAAATGGTCTTACTTTAACTACTGTACTTGCATTTCAAAAGTGACCCCTGAAATAATTTAAAAGATTTTTTCATTCAACTGACTAAATGGCGTGCAAATCAATAAGATTGTCAGTGTGTCTGTTAAAAAAATTCTTTTTGTTTTACGTTGACATTTATTTTAACAAATGAATTGATTGGTGCCAAAATGTCATGAATGATGTGAAGGTTTGACTCATTGAAACGTTCCTTTTTTTTTTCATTCAAATGTTAAATACGTGAGAAATTTTCATTTAAATTCTTAGTATCATTCGTATGTACCAACCTTTATTGTATACGTATTACGTAGCATGTAAACTGATCAACTCGTCCGGAAAGCTGAAACTTTATTGAATCTATCAGAGGTTTATTAGGCTTAGATGTTTATTATTAGCTGTGACGTTTATGACGATAGTAAATGCTAGTGAATGATAGTGAATGATATATAGTGAATGATATTGAATGATATTGAATGATATTAAATGATAGTGAATGATATTAAATGATATAGTGAATGATAGTGGATTGGTAAATTCATTGTTATAAAATTTGCGGGATAAATGGATGTTATGAAATCACATGATGTCATTATCATCATCACTTTTCGCGACGAGAGATACGTTTAAACGTTTAAATGAAACCATTAATTAATAGCATATATTGACGTTAATACGTAGTCAACTCTAACGATAATGTATGCTAGTTGACAATGCTATATTAATATAGCATTTCATAATTTAACTAATTCCTAAATTCTTTCATGTCACATCAAAAAAAAAAAAAAAAAAAATGTATGTACGTACGTACGTACGTACGTACGTACAATTTTTCGCCTGTTCGATGCACTTACTAAGCAAGTTCATGCATCCCACAACACCATAAAGGGGAAACCTTAAAAAAAAAAAGATATATTATTGAGATCTAAGTCGGAAACGTTCGTGTTAAACACAATGGACAATGTCAAAATAACAATGGGGCTTTCAAAATGGGTTTAAAAGTTGATTTATTATCTTTAATTTGGCTATACAGAAGCAAGGGAGATCTATCTAAACATAGGATTTTTACGTCTTGTAAATTACGTCCCTTACACGAGATGTAATTTTTCACATGGCTAATAAATTGATCAAATTTGCAAGTTAAAAAGTCTTTTTAAGAAATCTTGTTCAAAGTACGTATAAGTTCTTAGGTTATATATTAAAAATGATTTTGCATAAGAAAAAGGTACGCCTTCTTTAAGGGTTATCTTAAGAGTTATCTTAAGAGTTGTCTTAAGAGTTGTCTTAAGAGTTGTCTTAAGAGTTGTCTTAAGAGTTATCTTACGAGTTATCTTAAAAGTTGTCTTAAGAGTTGTGCTTTATAATTTTGCAATATTTTTAATTTGTATTAATAATAGAAAGATGAGTTCAGTAACATACAACGTGCAATTCTCATAAACTACGCGTTGAAGCCAATATCAAAAATATTAAAAAAAAAAAATAACTCGATGATTAACAAGTTTAACCAGAACTATTTGAATTAGTAATATTGACCTGCTTTATTTAATGTTATTGTAGTGAGGAAGAAACTAAATGCTATGTATTGTTACGGTTACGACTAAGGCCACAGACATTGGTGGTAGTGGCGTAGACAGTGACGTATGGATGTTGATACCTATATGACGTGAGGGTGATGTGAAAAGATACGTACGTACCTACCTTCGACCTTCTAAATGTCTGCACGTAAACGACAAAGCTATTATCGAATTTCACATGCAAAGATTGGGAGTAAGTTAATATAATCACCCAAAAGTTTTATATCAAATTTTATTGAACCAATTTTATTAATTTAATAGTTGTTGCGGATTTTTAATTCAAAGATCCTGAAAAATTTCACTTGACAGTATGTTCCTGACAATTCATCTATACATGACAGCCAACCCCTCTTTTAAGTTAAATTTAAGTTAATTTTAAGTTAAATTTATTGGGTTGATTATTAATTAAATCATAAATAATACATGTTTTGAAGAAATTATTGATCGTATTTTATTATTTAAAATAATACTTTTTATGTACAAAATAAAATAATTTAAATTACATACGTACGTACTTACTGTATTTTTAAAACAATACAATGAGCTTCGAGTTTACTACCCCTCCGATAAAATAGGATTGTGATGTTCTGTAGCGTAGGGCTGTCGCATAGAACATGTTATTTATCGCATGAGGAGTAGAACGAGGTTGGTAGCTGAACAATAGTAATTCTGACCGGTATGTTTATCGTGTAAATGTGAATTTATAAATACTGTATGCATCTTTCTATAATAGATTAGTATGAATATATTTTCCTCCTGAATGTTTGTAGAAACGCACGTAATCAACAATAAGAAATGAAATTCTTCTGTTATTAATGTTTGTAGAAACGCACGTAATCAACAATAAGAAATGAAATTCTTCTGTTATAAATTACGCTTTCTTTAAACATATAAAGTAGCTTATTCATATTCATGAAGCATTATGCATCATTTTTTACATATTAATTATTGTATCCTTTTTCCTTAAAACTATTAATTTGTAATATCACTCCCTGCATTGTCTATTGTTAATACCGTAACGTGTTCGCGCATACAAGAGGCATAATTCTTTCTAATCGTTAAATATAGGGACTGAACTTGTGCACTTCTAAATCGATAGTAACAATCCCTTTTATACAATATCAGAGTGCTATCAAACTGTAAATGTCAGTATGCCTTGAAAGTTTTGTTAAACCCATCATGATCATCTAACACCTTTTTGTAATATTTTTCTCACAATATCTCCCACAATATCTCCTACAATATCTCCTACAATATCTTCCACAATATCTCCCATAATATCTCCCATAATATCTCCCATAATATCTCCCATAATATCTCCCACAATACTCCCGGGATAGAGTTTCTTGAATCAAACCAAGAGTACTGTAGACATTGTTACATGATATTAAAAAATATATCATTGAGTGAGTATTTAATACTCTAAATCTTCATAAAAAATTTTTAATTCTAATTCTAACTAAAATTTAATACAAAACTTACAATATTAAATCATCAAGCTAAAAAAAATTAATAACAATATATAGTATAAATTTTAAGTATTATTAAATCAAACTAATATAATAACACCATTTTTATTACTACGATTTAGAATTCGGAATTATTTAAAAATTGGTTCATAGTTTTGAGCTAAATTATATTAGTTCTGGGCAAGAATTATTTTAATACTGCTAAATTAACTAGTTAGTATGGTTAAACCACTAAATGATTAGAAAAATTTAGAAGATTTCAATTCTAATATCTAATTTAAATAAATTAGTAAAAATAAATAAAATTAGAATTAACAATCTTTACAATATATTTAAAAAATTTATAATTTATTTTTATTTTTATTTTATTTTTTTTAATATTAAGGTAAAACCATGTCTTAATTAAAATTTAATTAAACTTTTACAAAAAAAATTATATATACAAAAAGCAACTTTTCCTAATAATCACTTGGACCAACTGTTACTAAAAGCAAGTTGAAGACTCAAGATCAGAAGTTAATAACAACTTGAAGTTTTTTTGATACAAACTGTTGTTAACAAAGTTTCAAATGTGATATATTAAGAAGTGGGTGTTTTAGATAGTTTGCAAAGAAGTCAAGCCTTGTCTTTTGTCTTCTTTCAGATAGACTCCTTTTTGTATTTGATATCTAAACCAAAGAAGTCTCTAAAAACAGCAAGTAAAAAGAAAGTTTAAGAAGGTTGAAAATAGAAAAACTTGATAAACTCTTAGAAAAAATTTTTTGGTTGGAATTCATAAAACTAATTTTTTTTGTTATTTTAATGCTTCCAAAACTAATTTTAGACAAAAAGTAGAGGATTTGGCTAATATATCAAAAAATTAGCATTGTTTACCACTTTTATATTTGGTAATTCTGTAATATAATCACAACAAATACATGACAATATGTGAATTAATCCCTACTTAAGAATGTTGTCTTATACAATTTAGGATTTGAATAATAGTACTTATATACCAAGTAGATAAATGAAGTTAGTAAGAACATATAAAGTTTATGATTTGTTATACTTTGAAATAGAATATAGATTTAGAGTTAAAATAATAAAGAGAATTTGAGATATACAATCTAAATAATAAAGTTATATATATATAATTTTTTTATATCTTTGTATAAGCCAAAGTGTAATTAATTTACATCAGTTAAGTTCTATATAAATACTATAATCATATAGACAAGTATCCAATTTGTACTTTAGATTTCTTTTATTGGTTTATTTATTTTCTGTTTGTTTTGTTTTGAAATATCCTCTTTCTTATATTTTTTCTTACTTTATTTTGCTTTTAGAAATTTTTATTAGAGAATATTTTATTAGATTAGTGATATTTTATATAAAGTAGTGATTCTAACAGAGCTGGTAACATGCTTTGTGTAGCCTTCTAAGATTTAAATCTTTAATAAGTTAAGCCAATAAAGGAATATAAATTATTTAGACAAGTTTTTTTAACAGAATCTAGTAATAGGTAATGTTTATACAAATTAAGTGATTCTTTATTAATATAGGTATAAGTAGAATTATAAATAGATTAGCTTCTAATATATAATTATAATATATTATTTCTTATTATATATACTGATTAAAATAATAAAAAAAGGATCACTAAATTAAAAAAATTATATATAAGTTTTATATTTAAAAATAATAAAAATAAAGACTTAAATATAACAAAATATTATAATTAAAAATTTCTTTTTTATATTAAAAAAGATATATAATTTATATGCTTATAATTATATATCTTCATATTTTTTATTTTTTTTTTAATCAAGGTTAGTCTCTTTGGCTTCCTACTTTTATTAGATTATAAAATCATGTAGTACTCTTGTCAAAGGGGCCCAGACAAGTACATTTTGACGAGAGTACATTCTAGCTATATCTGTGCTTTTTGAGCACCTAATTAAGTATCTATCTATTACTAGGTTTTATACTAGATGCTATACCTATAATCCACTATTACTTAAATTACCTAATTAAACCCTTTAATCTGAGTTTTCTATACCAATTCATCTAATCTTACCTGGAACATGTGATATATAAGTTAGTCTAAGATATCTTCATATTTTTGTTATAATAGATTAAAGTAAATAATTAATAATTAATATATCAATTTTTTAGAGAAATAAGCTAAAATATTTATTTTTTTACAAGTTCAATAAAGTATATGAGATTTTTTTTTAAATTAAATCTAATTTATTTTATCAAAAATTAATTTATTAAAAGTATAATTTACTAATATTTAATTTATTAACAAGTTTATTTTGCTAATAGTATAATTTATTAATAATATATTTTATTTTTATTTTTTTTTATTTTTACCTTCGCAATGTCGCAGAAGGGTAGATTTTTATTAGATATATTAATA